CTTGTTTTCAGAATAATAAATTGGTTTTAAAGGTGAACAATGATTTATTTATAGCATTTTTATGAACACTTGTGTATCAGCCTGTCTGATGTGTTTCAATCCATCTCAGTTGTTATTTCTAATTGCTGCTCAAATTTTTGCTATTTTGGCTAGTTGTCTCTGAGTCCTTTTGACACAACCACCATGGGGGTTTTAGACAGTGATCTTGCTTCTGGCATGACAACACATTCTAGTCTCATCTTTCACACTTCCTGCGTCAGACTTGAAACTGGCTATTTTTCCAAAGAGTCTTGGTTTGTTTTAGAGGAAAATAGCATTTATAGATCACAATCTTGAGCTGGGGTAGAAGGTAAAGATGAGACTGATAATAGAGAATGATAAAATGAGGCATTTGGGAGAACAGCATTCCAGGCTAAAGGAACGGGCGGGTGCAAAGACTCTGAGGAGAGGGAAGTAGTAGGAAAGTCTGAGAGTGAAGGGGAACAAGATAGTTGGAAGGACTGTAGTTTTGCTTGTAGCGAGATGGAAGCCATTGGAGGGTTTTGAGCAGAGAAGCGTGATGATCTTTTGTTTTGTTTGAACTGAATCACTCTGGGTTCTGGGTTGAGAACAGACTGAGCAAGGCTATGAGCAGTCTGGAAGAAGGGTTATCACAATAAACCAGGTGAGAGATGGTGTGGCTTGGGAGGAAATGAGGTCAGGTCAGGTTCTGCATAGATTCTGAAGATAGAAACCAGGGAATTTGCTATTAAAAAACAAAACAAAACCCACAGCAAAGTTATCATTCAGAATTGAAGGGCAGATGAAATGCTAAAAGGTGTTCTTTAAAAAGAGGAAAAAGAAGAAAAAAATAAAGATAAAAATTATGAACAACAAATACATATCTATCAATAAGTGAATCTAAAAGTCAAGTGAATTAAAAATCTGAGGAACAGAATAAACTGGTGAATATAATAGAATCAGGGGCATAGAATGGGAGGGGATTGATAATTCTCAGGGGGAAAAGGTGTCTATGTCGGGGGTATGGGAAGAGACTGGACAAAAGTCATATACCTATGGATGAGGACAGCAGGGGGGGAGGTAAGGGCAGAGGGTGGAGTGGGGACAAGATGGAGGGGAGCTATGGTGAGGGGGGGGAAGGAAGGAGAAACAATTGTAATAATCTGAACAATAAAGATTTATTTTAAAAAAGAATTGTACTTGGATTGTGAGGATAGAGAATTCAAATGTGACTTTGTTTTATGGTCTGAGGCATAAATGAAATTGCATCATGGTAATATGACTGGCATCTCTTATGCCAGTGGGTGGGTGCCATGTTTGTGGAGTGGGGGAGGAAAGACTGAAGAGGGGTCAGGCAGAGCTTCACAGAGGACTGGATAAACTGACTTATGAAGGATATGTAGGAGGACCAAAAAAACAAGAGGGGAAAGAGCATTCTGAACAGAAGAAAAACTTGTATAAATGCAGTCATGAAAGGACTATAGTTTGGGAATTATAATTTGTGTTTATGCTGCAGGGACCTAAAGCAGGAAATGAGGCTAGAGAGGCTGAGAGAGCCCTTACGTCGTACATGATAGGAATCTGAATTTTATTTTATGGATGATAAGGAGACTAGGATTGTTTAAGCCTAGGAATGACATTATCAGGTTTGCACTTTAGAAAGATCATCTAGGCAGCAGCGTCAGAAAGAATAAAGAAAGGTACAGAAAGAAGAAAACTTTGAACATTCTGAGAATTATCAAAGACCATTTCATCATTAAAACAGGATGAATATCTTCAACCCTTTATCTCTGTGAGTGCAGTTTTTATATTCTACTTCCTATTACAAATGATTATAATTTTTTGCTTAAATTTAGAATTTGTCTTTTAAAATAAAGTCTCGGGCCTTTTAAAAAGATGCACAAAAATCCTATCACTTTTGTAATTATTCTTAGATAAATTAAAAGTAGCCAAAGCCGGTTTGGCTCAGCGGTAGAACGTTGGTCTGCGGACTGAAAGGTCCCAGGTTCGATTCCGGTCAAGGGCATGTACATTGGTTGCGGGCACATCCCCAGTAGGGGGTGTGCAAGAGGCAGCTGGTCGATGTTCCTCTCTCATCGACATTTCTAGCTATCTCTCTCCCTTCCTCTCTGTAAGAAAAAATCAAAAAAATATATTAAAAAAAAAGAAAAGTAATATTACTTAACTATCATGTTTTCATGATGCTGAGGAGGGTGTGAAGACCACACACTGTGATTAAATTATAGCACAAAGCATGCTACTATAAAAGCATTAAATTTCAAAAGGGCCACAATAAAATGAGTTGGGAGGCTAAAACTACGCTTTCATTACTGTATATTCAACTCTGTGCTAGTTATTATAATGAGATTTTAACTCCCCTGGCAGAACTAGAAGTTGAGCACTTTACTTGATAGTTTCTCTATGATGAAATTGAAAGAGATTGAGTCAATTATTGTCAAAGTAACCTTCACTCAATGATGCAGTGTCCAAGTGGAACATGAGAGGCATCTTGGAATTTTAATTTTGTTTGAAATAGAGAACTGTTGCCCCAGACTTGGCATGCTCTGTCTTTCTTTCACCTACCCTCTCACTCACTCTGGATCTTCCCCTTGATCAATTCTCTTCTCCCTCTAGCTTCAATGATCTGTTCTCCATTCTGTAGTTCCCAAGATGTGGACATGCTCTTTTTCAAGATTGTCTCCAAAACAATGGTGCCAAGACAGTTATAAACCCACTAGAGGCCCGAAGCATGGAGACACATGCAAGAATGGGCCTTCCTTCCCCTGGCTGTTGGCACTGCCTTCGCTCCTGCCAGAGCTGCCTTTTTGCTCAGGCCTGGAGACACCTTTCTGCCTCCCCATGCTGCCCAGAGGCCCAGAGCGCCTGGGGCAGTGTGGAATGCCTGCGTCATCATCATAGTGATGACCAAGCATCCTGCCCCACCCTTGGCCACTCAGCGCCTGCGTATGCAAATTAACCTGCCATCTTTGTTGGGTTAATTTGCATATTCACTCCTGATTGGCTGTTGGGCATCAAGACGGTAAGGTCAACTTGAGTCTTTCTCTTTTATTACTGTTCATTATAAAAATTGTTGGTTTTCCCATATACTTCATTATATTACTAAAAAACAATTTTACCACAATAGAATAAATATGAAATATTCTTTATTAGAGATGGAGTATAATTGGCTTTGAAAGAGGCATTCCTTTTTTAAAAAAATATTTTATTGATATTTTACAGAGAGGAAGGAAGAGGGATAGAGAGCTAGAAACATTGATGAGAGAGAAACATCAATCAGCTGCCTCCTGCACAACCTCTTCTGGCGATGTGTCTGCAACCAAGGTACATGCCCTTGACCGGAATCAAACCCTGGACCTTTCAGTGCAGTCTGACGCTCTATTCACTGAGCCAACCCGGTTTTGGCAGCATTCCTTTTTCCCCATGAATGCAAAATCCTATAACTATGAACCATTTAGTAAGATAAAGAGTCTTGTTGTACAGGCCTAGATAAAGGCATCAAACATTTATTGAGCATATACAATAGGACAGGTGAGGTGTAAGGTAACAACAGAGATGCGTAAACTAAAAAATCAGCCCAGCCCTTATTAAAAAACAAAATGATTGAAAGTACAGTCATGCACCAAATAACAATGCCTCGGGTCAATAATAGACTGCATATACTAGTACAAAGGTAAAAAAATGCCTATCGCCTAGTAATGTCATAACCATGGAAACATCATAACAAAATACATTATTTGTTTGTGGTGATACTTGTATAAACAAACCTATTGCACTGCCAAGTATACAAGCATAGCATGTGCAATTATGTACAGTGCATAATACTTGATGATGATAATAAACTATGCTACTGATTTATGTGTTCACTACTATACTTTTTGTTGTTATAGTGTACTCTTTCTACTTAAATAAAAAGTTTGCTGTAAACAGCAGCCTCATCCGTGTTTACAGTGTCTCTTGATTGCATTATTTTCTCCTGTGCTTGATTTCATCTTTGTTGCTTAGTACAGTAAAGACAGCCAAATATCAACCGTACAATGATTGAAATTTCTTTTGAGAGCCAAAAACCGACTTCTGCGCAGGGGCCACGAAGTTTCAATCGCACTGTATGTGCGCGCCTACACGTGGGGTTTTGTGGAACAGCCACACTCAAGGGGCCAAAGAGCTGCATGTGGCTCGCGAGCCGCAGTTTGCCGACCACTGGGCTATATCATATAGCCTAGGTATGTCATAGGCGTGTGTACCTGCACTCTATATTTGCACAAGGACGAAATCGCCTATCCTTGCATTTCTCAGAACATATCTCCATCATTAAGCAGCGGGTGACTGTATAGCCAAGAATATATGTTCTGTATAGGTCAACTACAATCTTCAAGAGTCACAAATTGACTGATTTATGTAATGAAAACACCTTATGGTATAATTGGCTTCAGACAAAAGTTATCATGCTGGAGAAGTAATGTAGAATCAGGAACCAGATCTACATTCTTGCTTCGCTGCTATTCATTCATTCATTCATTCATTCAAATATTTAATGACAGCCCACTCTTTGGGAGAAACTGTATCAGACGCTGGGAGCACCTACTTGCTCTTAATTTTTGTGAACACGTGTGGCTTAACTTTTCCAGATGGCTAACCTTGGTTAGACTAGATGGTTGAAGTTTCTTTCAAACCTAAAATGCTAAAGTTTCTGACAGCCTCTTGGAGGGAGAAGCTGCCCAGGCAACCTTGGGACTTGAGGACTTACCTTCCTCTTGCGAGGATTAGCTTTCGTCCTGATTTCAAAATAACTTCGTACGCACAGTTTTCAAACCGTTGGCCAGCCTCTTATCTGTATTTGGGTCATCTTGACAAAGCCCAAGTGTAGCAATTTCTGCTCAGAAGACGTTAAGAGGCGGAAGTCACGGTCTGGGGAAAGGTGTACAACTTGCGTCAGTCAGTACAGCCAGAGAGCTGTTCCCAGCAAGCCGCCCCCCGGGCCGTCGCACGGGCCTTCTGTCCAATAACACTTCTCCTGCCACTGGCTGGTCTGACGCGTGGAGGATCCTTTGCTCTTCTGGTCTAATTAAGCCTCCTGAAAGGATTGCTCATCGGGGACCCGGAGTGATCAGCTTCATGGGGCGGGAAGAACTGTCTTTGCAGCCCAGTTTTCCCAGTGGGTATCAAGGTAACAAGTTTCTTGGTATCTGGCTTCAAAATTGCAATAAGTAAATAATAGCATTTTTGCTTGCAGCCAAGGTACTCCCCCCTCCCCCCCCGCCCCCCAAAGGGGGAGAGTGGATTTCTTTAACAAGAAAGGAAAGAGCGGGAGAGCAATATTTGAACACAAATACAGAAAGTTACAACCCTGGGAAGCCTTCTTGTTAACGTTACGGAAATGAGCAGCTAGACTCCTCCGCAGAGGCCAATCTGTTGTTCCAGTCAATGAAACAGAGTTAGAGGTTCCTTCCTAAACGGGCCGGCTCACTTGGCCCCTCCCACGAGCCCGAGGGTCTGTTATATCTCTGTTCCTTGAGAGTACCTCTCTCACTGAGACAGACCACAGCAAGCAGAGGCTGGAAAAAAAAAAATTAAAGAGCAGAGGAAGAACACAAAAGCTGCCAGTTATGGAAGATGTAAAGGGTAAGAGCAAAATTGATTTGATCTGAATCCTTAAGGACAAAAAAAAAAAAAAAAAAAAAAAAAAAAAAAAAAGAGAAAACCAAACAAACCCAAAGCCCAGACCAAAAGCAAGTACTTGAAAGAGCAAGAGGCACAGAGCCCTAAATGAACTTTCCCACCCTCTCCTTCTGAGAGGAGGCAGAAAAAGAACTTGGGGAAACTTTTAAGAAGCCAGCCGGGTTGTTTGTAGTCAAGGGTGGCTCTTGAGGCAGCTGAAGGAGCTCATGAATATTCATTACCATTTGTATTCAGATCTGGCTTTTTTTTTTTTTTTTTTTTTAAAGAGGTAAATGACTTCTTCCGTCCCCTCTGCAGTTAAGAGGCAGCTGCCTCATTTGTAGTCCAGAGTCATTTGCTTCGGTCGGGACCTCCGCGTATTTGCTCGAAGATGCTGGGCTCAGTGTGCAGATTTGTTTTGTTCTCTAATTTCCTGCGTGCTTTCCTGTTGTGAAATTAGCAAAGGCTTCTCCACAGGGATTTCAGAGAAGTTAATGTGGCTAGAAGCTGTCACAACAGGACCCCGGAGGAAGCCTCTTGCAAAAAAGACTGAAAACTTCTTGGAAGGAGTGTGTGTGTGTGTGTGTGTGTGTGTGTGTGTGTGTGTGTGTGTGTGAGAGAGAGAGAGAGAGAGTGTGTGTGGAGGGAGGCAGCGCCGAGAGGGGATGGAGGGCTGAAGAACAGTTTTATCTTTAAAAAGCAAGGCGTATCGGACGGACTATATTTAGATCTTGTCTAAAAACTGCAAGAGCAGCCGGCTTTGGAGAAATGGTGTGCAGTCTCTCTTGTCTTTTACCTCTTTTGGGCATTTTTCTGCCGGGACGGAAAGCTAGCGGCTTGCCAGTCGGAGGGAGCCAGGAGGAACCTTCCGCCGTGTGGGTGTGGAGGGTTGCAAACCTTCTTCGTTATCTCTCGTTTCTAAGAACTCCGCACGTTTTTATCACACAGAATGCGGAGGAATGGGATGAGGAACAGATTTCTTAATAAGGATAATAATGATAGCCGTTAACACTTGCTAAGTCTGTGCTGGGAGCTGTGCTAAGCATGTTCCGTGTGTTACTTATTACTCACATCGGCTTATGGGATGAGTGCTGCGTTTATGCACGATGGAGCTGAGGTAGTACGAGAGGAGCTTGCCGTGGGTCGCACGGTAAGTGGTGAGGTGGATGCAGGCAGAGGACACAGCATCCGCGGACTGTTGCTCTCTCTCTGCTCCCACCGCTCTTACTGTGCTCCTGCTCCAGATTTGCAAATCCTTGCAGCTACGGGGTAATGCTACTGATGAAATTGCAAGGCTGGGGAGGAATTTGTGCTTTCCTATCAAGTTCACTTTTTTTTCTCTTCTCTATGGTAGAGCTCAGCCATTGTCAATCCTGCCCTTCACAGAAGGGAGAGACTGAGGCCAGGACTGGTTAGGTGACAGGAATCATACAACCAGACTAGACCAGAAATCCCCCGCCTCTGGTTTCTAAGCTGCAGAGCCAACCCAGTCACCGCTGAGCTGCTTCCCCACCCCCAGCCGCTTTCAGTTCCCCTAAAGATTTTGCTTCGTTCCTCCCTCCCAGACTGTGTTGCAAGGAGCTTGCCTCTGCTTCTAAGGCCTCTCTTCCCGTTTAATGTGCAGCCTTGCTGCTGGGTTTGAACCCCAGCTCCATCATCTAATGACTGCTGCCTCATCTATAAAATGAAGATAATATAATACCTACCTCTTAGAGTTGTTGTAAGGACTAAATGAGGGATCCATACAAGGTTCTCAGAATGGGGCCTCATGCATATAGTACATGCTCAATAAATGCTACCTGCCAATCCCCCCTCAGGCCTCATCTTGGTTGTTAGACTTGGCTCTTTCTTGAATGTTTCTACACCACCTCACCACTTAATGCCTAAGGTGGCTTGTCATACTTGTCCACATTCCTGCCCTCTGAATTGTCTTCCCTGTCCCCAAGCCATAATTCATTTATTTACCATTGGATCTTCAGCGTCTGGAGCAATGTTTAGCACACAATGGGCACTCAATAAATATTTATAAACTTAGTATTCTTTTAGTTGATGTTCATCCAAGAGTCAGGAGGCTGGTTTAAAAGGGAACCTTTGAGTTCGCTGTACATATAGCTCTTGTGCAATCTGTAAAGACATTTCTCTAAGTCATGGTTCTCAACCTTTCTAATGCCGCGACCCTTTAATACAGTTCCTCATGTTGTGGTGACCGCCAACCGTAAAGTTATTTTCGTTGCTACTTCATAACTGTAATTTTGCTACTGTTAATGACTCATAAGGTAAATATCTGTGTTTTCCGATGGTCTCAGGCGACCCCGCTGCTGTAGAGTCTATAAGATCATTGGAAAACACAGATATTTACATTATGATTCATTAACAGTAGCAAATTTACAGTTATGAAGTAGCAACGAAAATAACTTTACGGTTGGGGGTCACCACAACATGAGGCACTGTATTAAAGGGTCGCGCGGCATTAGAAAGGTTGAGAACCACTGCTCTAAGTGAATACACTGAAAAACAAAATGCATCCCTACCGGTGGGTGATATTCCAAGCTGAGGCAGCCCCATGCCAGTGTGCCCAGTTTGGCCAGGCTAGCTCTGGCTGAACTGCAGCCCTCATTACCCCTCAGCCAGGGGACAACTGGAGATTTCAGATGCCTCATAGCACAACCTTAATCTCTCTGAACGGAACATTTGGTTTCAGAAACAATGTCTCCCCAGCCCCATTTAATTTTTTTTTATTTTTAATTCCCCCCTCCCCAGCCCCATTTATGGCACAGTCTGAGACAATGGGCGGTGTGAGAGAAAACAAACACTATAAAGGTTGGCACTGGGTGAAATCATAAAGTACGTTACAATTGCTTCCAGCACCCTCGCTTTCGTCTCCCTGGCATACCTTCAAGCCAATTTGACAAATATTATTGTGTCTACCATTTGCCAGATGTGTGGGATATAAACAGTTTGCTTACAATCTAGTGGGAAAGACAGACGTATATACAACCAAGTCTAATTAAATCCAGACTTTGTGAAGTGCTAGTAATAATAGCTGACATTGATTCAGTATTTACTATATGCTAGGCACTGTAATTATGTCATGCATTGTTTCATGTAATCTTCAGACTATACCTATGATTATAACAGCTGTGGAGGGAAGTTATGTGGCCAAGGCCACACAGCTAATAATAGGCAGAGGGGGAACTGAGACCTATATAGTTAGGCTGCAAAGCCTGGGTTTCTAATGCATTAAGTTCTCTTACCTCCCTAAGAGCTGTAATACAAGTCTAAAGAAAATGCCATGAGAAACACAATAGGGAGTGATGATTTCTGAGAAAACTTCTCAAAGGATGTGACACTTCAGTGGCTCTAGAAAGATGAGTTGAGTCTGGTGCTGACAGCAAGCCCTTCCTAGTCTAAGCAATGCTTACAGATCTTTTCTCTCTCCTTTCCTGAAACCAGAGTCCAGATTTAATAGTAAAAAGCTCTTTCACCCTTTCCAAGTTCTGAGCAGGGAACCTATTTACATGTCCATCCTGGAGTTTTGAAGGCAGAAGTCCAAAGATAGACCTGGCTCTAAAGGGTTAGTGGATTACCAGACATGTAATCCACTAACCCTTTACAAAGCAACCAGCTGCTGAATGTTAAATGATTTCCTTATGATTATCTTGCATGTTCATTAGACACATTTGATAAATAGATTTCACAAATGCCAGTGGCGGGTCTTGCTTTTACTTGGCTACACTGCATTTTAAGAGTATCTTCTCGGCAGCAAAAGCAAAATTAAGGGCAACCTTTGTGGTAAGGAATCATCAAGCCTCTTGATGGTTTGGTGGAAGTACCCAATAGCTCAGTCGTGGTGAGTGTGTGTGAATGCTCCTAGGCAGTGTTTCTCAAACTTTAACACGTATGTGATTCACTGGGGATCTTGTCAAAATGCAGATTCTGATACAGTAGCTCTGGGGTGGGGCCGGAGATTCTGCATTTCTAACAAACTCAAGTGATGGTCATGCTGCCCTTCCATAGGCCACACTTTGACTAGCCATGTTATAGGGTCATTGCATGCCTTAACCTCAGGGCTTATTTTGGTACCAAATGACCAATCCCTCCCCTAGCCATCACTTGGAGTCTCTGATCAGCTATGACCTTGCAGGATAATGGGAAGCCTAATTCATTCGTTTGTGCATTTGATTGTTTGTTCAGTCACTATATGCCCAGAACAGGAAGTTGAGGCCCCCCAATTTGTCATACAGCAAACAAGTCTGAATCTTTTTCACACAAATTATTCCACAAAGAAGGCCCTGTGTTGGTTTTCCCAAACATCTCTCCTCTTTCTCCAAGGCTCTGGAGTTTCCTAAGTTGCTTTCATTCCCTCCTTGGACCTGAACAGCGCTGGAGCCGTGCTGCCTCCAGGGCCCTTTGCTGGGTGCTTGGAGAGCCAGGGGCCTGGGGCACACTTGGAGAGCCAGTGTGCCTGGGCATTGTCTCAGGCTGCCCAAGTAAAGTGGGAAATATCCCAGCTACAAAGGAAGGGAGAGAGGACTGAATTTCTTTAGATTTGGAAAATTGAAGGAATTATGAGGAAAAAATAAGTTGGAGAAAAGAAGCTGGGAGAATTTGCCTAACATGTTTTCATCCTGCAGTGTTTGTGTTAGAATATAAAAATGACGTTGGAGATGCAGGAACAATGGCAGCACACACCCTACATAAAGAGGTATTTCCTTTTGATTCACAGGAAGAATGTAGACAACTCCTTCATGTCTGCGAGGGTGTTGTTTCCTTTTGATTCATAGGAATAACGTAGACAATTCCTTCATGTCTGTGAGGATGTAAGTAATATGGCACATGTCCATTAAAGAAAATACGAAAATATAAATTAGGGGAGAAAAGAAAAAAATCACTCGTGATTACACTTTGGTGTATTTCCTTGCAAAGTCCTTTTACTATGCTGGGTTGTTTCTCTCTTTCAGCAT